ACACTGTGCGTGAAATGAATTCGACCAAACCGCCGAGAACGAAGGGCGATTAATTCGGGAAAAAAAGCCACTGAAATTTCTCTCAGGTGAAAATGGGGGGAGGCACTCCTTACCCGCCGAAACCGGCCGCCGCCGCGCCGCCGCACCCGGAGGACGACGTCGCCGGAGAGCCCTTCATCCGTCCCGGCGCCGGAGGAGTGGGCGTCGGGATCGGCGGCGGCGGGGGGCTCCGGAAGAAGGCGGTGGGTGTTAGGGCTTGGCTGCAGCTGGACTCGACGGGCCAGGCGCAGGTCGTGGAGGTCGGAAAACACGCAATCATGAGGCGGACGGGGCTCCCGGCCCGAGATCTCCGCATACTCGACCCGCTACTGTCTTACCCGTCCACCGTGCTCGGCCGCGAGCGGGCCATTGTTATCAATCTGGAGCACATAAAGGCGATTATCACGGCGCAGGAGGTTCTCTTGCTCAATTCTAGAGATCCTTCGGTGATTCCGTTTGTTGATGAGCTTCAGAGGAGAATCCTGCTTCACCATCAGGCTGTCAAGTCTCAGGTTCAATTCCCCACTCTCGTCTCTGAATTACTTTTTGGTAAATTTTGATGATAGATAGTTAGGTAATTGTGAGTTGAACTCTAATTTGTTTGTGATCAGTTTATTTGGAATTCGGTTTTTTTGTTGAGTTGAAGATGGCTTTAGCTTACCACTCTGTACATTCGATTTGTCGATCTTTGCTCTTTCCCCTGAATTTGTTGCTTGTATGGATTTTGTGTATGTTTTGCCAAATTTATTCAGATATTGTTGGATTGTTATAAATTTGGAAATATAATCGAGTTAACTGTGTAATTGGGCTAAAACCTCATGGGTTGTTTAGGAAACTGGAGATGGCGAAAATGCAGACTGGAAAAACTTGTATGATTTAGAAGGTCCTCAATCAGTTCCAACAAGCCCCCCAAATTATTCGAGAAATTTTCCTGGCAAGGAAGATGGAGGGAAAGTAGAAGGGAGAGAACAATCTCCCGAGAATCGAGATGGCCCCAAGTTGCTGCCATTTGAGTTTGTTGCATTAGAGGCGTGTCTCGAGGCTGCATGCAGTTGCTTGGATAATGAAGTATATAATCCTTTTTCTAGTATTTTGGTGCTTAAAGTTTAACTTCATACTCATTTTTTAGTTTGATAATTCTATTTGATGTTTTTTTCTGCTCTGGTCTCAAGCTAGGCAAGGACATTGGAGCAAGAAGCTCATCCAGCGTTGGATAAGTTGACTTCAAAGATCAGTACACTCAATCTGGAACGCGTGAGGCAAATTAAGAGTCGTCTGGTTGCTATTACTGGTCGTGTTCAAAAGGTTTGTATGGAGCAATTGTGTGTTATTTCATTTCGTTAATGGCTTTATGTATAAATTGTTTAACCTTGAATATGAAATTTCATGTCATCTCTTGTAGAGGTTTTTGAAGAACGAATTGTTGATTTTAAGTGAATGTTTGTTTGTTTTCCTTATGGATTATTGACATTATTTGGCAAGTGACCTTTAGCTTTAGCAATTTACATTATTCCTATTCTTCCACTGGTTGAAGGTGAAAACTTTTAGTTTCATCACTAAAAAGCAAGGTTGTTGACTGACAAAAGATGTTATCGTCAATTGCTAAATATTTTTCTGTTGAACTAGTTATGTTTCAATAATGTTATATCAGGTGAGGGATGAGCTGGAGCACTTGCTTGATGACGATGATGACATGGCGGAAATGTATTTGACTGACAAACTGCAAGAACAGCTTGAGAACTCCTCTGTTTCTTCCCTGGATGAGCCAGAGCAAGATGTGTTGGACAATGCAAACATTGATGACAGGCAGATGAAAAATTTAATGAACATCTAATAGCTACTTGCAAATAAAACTTTTAATTATCTTATCATACTTCATATCGATTTATCTGGAAAAAAAAATAAATTGAATACTCTTACTTACAATTGCTTTCGCGCTGCAAATTTAGGACCCCTGCTGAAATATTGATGGAAGGCAATGAGCGTTTAGATGTTCGGGAACAGTTGTTCGGTGGCCCTAATGTCCTGAGCAGAGGCAGTCATGGGACCCACACCAGTACGCACAGTGCCGTAAGCAAGCACCTTGATGTAGAGGAGCTTGAGATGCTCTTGGAAGCTTATTTTGTTCAGATTGATGGTACACTCAACAAGCTGTCCACTGTATGCAAAATCTCCCTCTATCTGCTTTCTAATAGTAATAAAAAACCTTGATGTTTCAATGAATTGATGTTGCATGCTCAACCCATCAAAACTGTTTGTCGTGAGATTTTACATCCGTTGATGATCTTTATTTTCCCCGTTTTTTACATTATTTTTGGATGTTTAGGCCTTTGTTGTTCTGCCCTATCATACATATTGGCCTATATGAGAGAGTGTGGTTCATGAATATATCTGTTTTTACTTTTTTTTTTTTCAACCATTTTTTTTCGGCAAAGTAGGAGAAGTTTCTCAGTAATTGACAATTAACGAGCACATAGATTAGAAGGCACGTTAGATTTTGAAGTGCTCTATTTCTTCAAATCCCGAGAGTTAATAATTATCATATGTTCGATGAATATGCATATGTATAAATGTGTATATATTCTTTTGATGAAAAGCTTAGGGAGTACGTAGATGACACTGAGGACTACATCAACATAATGCTGGACGACAAGCAAAACCATCTCCTGCAAATGGGGGTCATGCTGACGACAGCAACTCTAGTGGTGAGCGCTTTTGTGGTGGTGGCCGGGATTTTCGGCATGAATATCAGAATCGAGCTCTTTCAGGACGAGTTGAATGGAATGACGAGGTTTCTGTGGACTGTGGGTGGTAGCACGGCTGGCACTCTTTTTCTGTACGTTATTGCCATTGCTTGGTGCAAGCACAGAAGATTGCTCGAGTGAGTGCCCGAGCCTATGTGTACTCGATGATTTCTCCATGTAAAACTGGAAATTTGCTGTGCATAGAACAAATTCAAAACAGTATTTCGCCTTGTGATATTTATGTGTAAGTTTGGAGTCGATATTATTATGTGAGAATTTCCTACCAAACGAGTTGTGTTATTATTTATAATCAGCAAAAACAAATCCCCGAACAAACTTGCATCAGGATAGATAGATTGATAGACTCCTTCTTTATGCATTTCATCAGGTGGGTCGAGTTTAGGGATAATGCCATAATGGCCTGTCTTGTTTATTAATAGCAGAATGGCCCCAGAGGTTTTCGTTTATATCATATTGATGGGCACAGTGTGTTGATTGTATGGCATTGGGTATGATTATGCATGTAAGTCGTGTTAGAGTGGACCTTTGACCTTACCTATCAAGTTGGAACTCAATGAGATGAGCCATGTAAAATGTTGTTATGCTCAAAATGATTATAAAGAAATCGCAACTGAGTTCGACTCTATGGACGAGCTTCCCTTGAGATTGACTTGATATTCATTAATAATTCGATCTTTTGGATTTGAGTTGATTGAAACTGGGTTTGACCAGCTTAGACTCGATATTCTGACTCGAGTTCTGGCAAGTTGCTGGGATAGTGGTAGCTCTAGATGATTTTCATTTACACATATAAAAACTCTTAACTTTTATTTTCACCAACATTATTTGAAAACTAACCCTAAAGCCTTTTTAAAGACGACGCACATTGACCACAACTCAAGAACTCCTATTTCCTAAACAAAGCTTTGAAAATTCTATCTCCCATTTCCTAAACACTGGATTCCGACCCCTCGATGAGAATGAAACCACCCTCATCTTGAACAAGCATCACAAACTAGATTCTCAATCCCACGACGGGCCTGGCCCGAATTCGAGGTCAAGCGCACCACAAAAGGAGACACGAAGGGATTTGTCGACCTCTGCTACCATCTCTCCTTTTATCCTCCGACCACCAAGTGGCGGATCTGTCGATCTCCACAGCTTGTTGTCGTGAATCATTTCTTAATGGTCTTTTTTGCTATGATTGGATATCTTTATAAACGCCGAAAGGAAAGAATCCCCAAAGGCAACATTTGTTGTCGTCGTTTCCACCTTTTCCATCCACCGACAATGTGATTTTTTCTCTGTGGCGAAATCTTGTCCGTCGGTCGGGATCGTGTGGTTTCCGCATGAATGAGTTGGAAAGGGTCTTAGAGGTTTTAACTAATTCCAATCTTCTTTTCTATAGATTATTTTCTTATTTATTTGATATTATATCCGCTCAATTTTCGTCTCGCTTTGTAGGTTTTTCTTTCTGTGATTTTGGTTTCGACATTTAGTTTTTCGACAAATTGATTTTCTTCGGTACGAAAATTGTTTTTTAAGCAAAGATGTATACAAATTGTTTGGATGGGAATACAAGAAGCTTGAGAGGACCCCACATGCTTGTCCGATCAAGCCATCGTCTTCGCAAACTAGAAGGGTGACCGTGGACGTCGCCCTTACCTACGATGTTGTTGCCCGTTTGTTCTGTGATTCGAAGGCGAAGACGAACATAATTTAGGTTTATTGATGGTTTGATTATGGTATAATGATTTTTTTTTCTTAGTTTTGATTTTATTGTAATTTATATTCAGTATATGTATAGTTAGTGATTTTACTGTCTTTTGAGAAAAAAAATTCGGATGTTTGATTTATTAATGTTGTGGAAGATTCAATTGTTTAATTGGTCTTTATTAATAGTTTGTATTTATTAATAGTTTGTATTTGGTATATTTTTTATTTTTTTATTTTTATTTATTTATTTATTTTATTTTTTTTTTTTAAAAAGCCACGCTGATAACATAANGTACTAATTTTGTTAAGCGCCAAATTAATGTATCATTTTCTTAATAAAAAAAAAACCCTTAGTAGACCAAAAATGAAATTAAGCCGAGCAAGACTAGTAGTGTGACGGTGGCGGTGGTGGTGACGGTGGTGGTGGTGGCGGTGGCGGTGACTCGGGACACTTGGGACGAGGGCGCACACTAGACCCAGGAGGCGGTGGTGCTTCACGTCTCACCCTTTTCTCGTGATAAGGCTCACAAATACCGGTTTTCGCAAGTGATGAAGACAACACGACCACAATAAAGAAGAAAAAGAAGAGGAAGTAGAAATACGAAGCTCGTTCCATATATAGCTAGTATAATTTTTGCCCCCCCTTTTTTTTTTCCTTAAGAAATTAGAATAATATTTAAGCTAGGGGAGAATGGCCTTGGTGTTAATTTATTACCTATATTGCTAGCATGACTTGGACAAACTTCAAGTCATATGCATGCATTTAAAGAGCCAGCTTACAAGCCTACAAAAATGAGAATTTGTGGCATATGAAGTTCAAGTCCATCACTCCTAAGTGAACGCGAGCTGTCTTAATAAGACATGTAAGAGACGAACCTCTTGTGCAAAAGTCTTAACTTAGCCTTCAAGCTCTCAATTTTCACACAAACTACATGTTTTCTAAACCTCTTAATCTTATGCTTGAAAAACGCGTTATGCACGAGATGCTTAAAAACCTCTTGTGGTCCCCTCGCTCGGCCAATACTACTGATCGCGACTATGTATAATATCAGTAGTTCAACACAAATTTAGTTAGATCTATGCATAAACACATGATGTTTTAAAACTGATAACAATTACATTATCAGTACATTTAAGTTAGCATGAAGA